TCTCTCTCGCTCGCTCTCCCTCTCCCTCGCTCTCCCTCTCCCTCGCTCTCCCTCTCCCCCTCACCTGCGCTCCCTTGATGACCAGGAAGCCGGCCGCGCTTCCTCTCTCGCCGGAGCCCGCGCGGCGCGCGCGGTGTGTAGTACGACTCCGCCCGTCCCGACGCCAGTGCGGTGGGTGATATCCCATCTCGATGCGGTCCAGGCGGCCGCCTTGCTGTGTATTCAATGCCGCCGCCCCTTTGCCCGCCAAATCATGCAAATGCGCCCGCCGCGCGCATCCCCGTGGGAAAGGGCAGTGGCGGCCGGCACGGCATCAGCCCCGGCATCAGCCCCGGCATCAGCCCCGGCATCAGCCCCGGCATCAGCCCCGGACCCCTGCCCGGTCGCCACGGCATTGTCTGCCGAGTGATTTCATAAAGGCACCGCCGCCAGATAACGCTCCGCGGCCCGGACGGAGCTTTGAAGATCATCCCTGCACTACTAGAAACCCTAAGTAGTTAGAAGTGTGTAATAATGCTACGCTGCTGTAAGTGCCCTATCTTGTTATGAGTCACGAATCATTTTTGCAAGATGCGCACACAGACCTTGCAATAGACAAAAATTGTTTCTTTACACTTAAAGTGTAGTTGCGCAGAAATGCATTACCTGCAAGTGTGAGCGAGTGGACATTCACACAATGGTGTGACTGTGACATTCGCACACACACGCAGCTCGGGTCAACACCGTCAAAAGAAGGTTCGAAGAGATTCCGCTACAGCCACCGTCGTTGTAACAAAGTAGCAGTCCTCTTCTCGGGCCGCACCTGCACCCGATTTGTAATCCCCGTGCTGACTATTTTATTTTTCGCTGTATGTTTTTTTATGCCGGTGGTACGGGCCTTAAAAGTTTTTATCCCTGCTGGGGCGTTCCTCCCCCTAGCTTCGAGGGGGGAAATAGAGGAGGGCCTGAAGCACCGCGACGCTCGGGGTCCGCTCATTGAAGGTCCATCCAGTGGGCCTGCTGAAAGGTCGCGCCTTGCTCACGACTGAGATGGACCAAACCTTTTCCTTTTGCTTCACAAAAGAAAATTGCTTCCCGAATCTTCCTCCTTGGTTTCATGTCCCTTGTGGCCCGGTTTTATGAATGTTATGCTGTATTATTGGCCGTGTACTAATCGAAGGCGTCTTCGGCCCCCACCCCGCCGCGTCCGCCGCCTCCCCACCCTTTCGCGTTGTTGATGGCGCCATCTTGCCTGCCAGGAGACACACCAGTCATCGGGAGTGGATTTTCGCCCGTCCGCGGCGTTACAAAGGATCTTGCCAAAACTTTGCAGAAGTGCGCGCTGCGACGTCCCCACGATAAATATTTGTCAGTGGAGCTGCGCTCTGCGCTCTGTACTTCCACCTCTCTCTCTCTCTCTCTCTCTCTCTCTCTCTCT